CCGCCGCCGCCGCCGCCCTCCTCGTCCTCGTCCTCCTCGCCCAACCCTGGCCAGCCCCACCGGACCGAGACGCTGGGCTTCTACGAGAGCGACCGCCTCCGGCAGCTCAAGCGCAGCGGGCCCGCAGGTGCGACCCCTGGTGTTTTGTTTTTTTTGCAGTGTGGGTTGGTGGGATCCAGGGAAAGGGCGCCTGGGCATGTGCAGAGGGCATGCCGCCGGGGAAAAGGGAGGCAGGAGAAAGGGCCCCCGTAGCCGTCTGCTTCAATCAAGAGGGCCAGTCTGGTGTCGTGGTGAAGTGCGCGGACTCTAATCTGGGAGAGCCGGGTTTGGTTCCCCACTCCTCCTCCACTTGCACCTGCTGGGTGACCTTGGGCAAGCCGGAGTTCTGATAAGAGCTGTCCTTGAAAAAGGGCAGCTTCTGCCAGAGCTCTCTCAGCCCCACCTACTTCACAGGGTGTCCGTTGTGGGGAAGGGAAAGGAGATTGTAAACTGCCCTGAGATGCCTTTGAGTAGTGAAGGGCGGGGTATAGATCCAATCTCTTCTTCTTCTTCTTAGTTTACACCGAGGGTGTGGGAGGAGAGGTTGTGGCTCAGTAGGCAGCAGGTCCCGGGCAGTGTTCCCTCTAAGCTGAGTTAGTGTGAACTAGCTCACCGTTTTTCAGCCTCTGGCTCGCAGATTTTTGTCTTCGCTCAGGAAGGATATGGCTCCAGGGCAAATAATTTATGCAGCAACCAAATCGCTCACAAAGTAGAATTTTTGCTCGCAAGACTCCGCAGCTTGGAGGGAGCATTGGTTGTAATCCCCAACATCACCCCTTAAGAAGGGTCTGGCAGGAGGGGATGTGAAAGACCTCAGCCTGAGACCCTGGAGAGCCGCTTCCGGTCTGAGTAGATGATACGGACTTTGATGGACTGATTCAGTATAAAGCAGCTTCATGTAGGCAAGATAAGAATAAGGATACTCATTACAATCCCATATAGAATTGGGTGGAGTGGCCCTGTTGATCTGAAGCAGCAGAACAGCTGGAGTCCAGGGGCACCTTTAGAAACAAGCAAAGTTTTATTTGGGGTATGAGCTTTCATGTGCATGCACATTTTGAAGAAGTGTGCATGCACACAAAAGCCTTCTACCCAGAATAAAACTTTGCTGGTCTTAAAGGTGCCCCTGGACTCAAATGTTGTTCTAATCCCGTATAGAGGGACCCCAGTCTAAATCCACTGAAGTCAAGATAATCCGTTTAGGATTGCACTGAGTATATTTTTTGCCCCACTCGACGGAATAGTACCCAAGAACCTGCTTTATCCTGAGCGCTTTACCAGCAGTGGCTCTCCAGGGTCTCAGGAGGAGCTGCTTGACATCCCCAACTCTCTGATCCTTTTGACTGCAGATGTTGGGCTTGAATCTGGGACGTTCTGCCCAGCAAGCGGAGGCAGTCTCTGAATGAGCCAGGACTCATCCTTGAATCCCCCACCCCCACCCACCATGTCACGGATTAGAGGAGACAGTTGAATTTCAGGGGTTAGGGACAAATCCGCACGGAAGGATCGGCAACTTGTTGCAGGGTTCTCTGTGGTTTAAAAAGGAAGTGGCTGTGTCAGTTGGTTGTATCAAAATAAAAACAGATGTGGTTACACCTGAAATACTAATAATGTTCCAGTAGAAAAGAGGAAGAGTCCAGTAGCACCTTAGAGGCAAAATTTGTGGCAGGCTGGGAGCTCTCTTGAGTCACTGTGCCACAAATTTTGTTAGTCTTTAAGGCTCTTCCTCTTTACTGCTGCTATAGACAGACTAACATGGCGACCGATCTGGATCTAATGTTTATTCCAGTTTGAAGTTTTGTGAGGCAGAACTTGCGTCCTCAGATGCAGTGAGAACACAGAAAAGCCTTTCCCTCGCCCCTTCTGTAATTTCCTGTAAAAATTGAGGACATGTATCTCTTTTTCCCCATTGTGACTGAAGTAGTCACTTGGGACTTGCAAAAGCCCCTACAGAAGTAAGTGTTAGTCTTTAAGGTGCCACTGAACTTCTGTTCTGTTTCACTGTGGTTTAGTTTTCCTTACCCCACCCCCCCAAATCTAGGTCAATTGTGCTGTGACGTGAAACATAATAAAGAATTAGTGCCTTTGAACATGTGCAGTATGTATTCCTCACTACTTCCTCCGCTCCATGTATCATAGATGGAGAAGTTTGCTGTTTAACCTGGTGGGGGAAGAGCCCCTGCCAGGACTCCCATCTGCCTGGGAAAACGCCTGATCAGGAAATACTACACGCCCCCCCCCCCCCCACTCCTGCAGTTTGTGATGTGTAGAAATGGCATTCTCTCCATATTTACTTGGTGGAAGAGGGAAATACTGAGGGGTGCTGCCATCATCACAAACAGGTGCCAGGGCTGTGTGAGCCTCTGGGGAAGGCATTCTAGCCAGCCTTCTCTACAAGGCGTGGGTCCCTTGGCATCTTTGCCCCTTAGAAATTAACATTCGGATGGCAGTTTATAAGAATTTGTATGTTTGGGGTGGGGGAGAGATTTCTGCTTTTACGGGTATCAAAGGTGAGAAACAGTTTGTCAAGTAAAGAGGTAGCCAAAGCAGAAAGTTTATTGCTGCTTTAAAAATCTGCCAGGGAGGTGGATAAGTAGGGTTGGAGGATTGTCTGTTTTCTGCAGATGTGTGTTTTCCTTTACTTTAAGGCCATATGGTAGTCATAGATAACTTAACAACACAAGAATCCTGACTTGCGTCTGCCACTAGGAAGCTTTCTCTCTGACTCCTGACAGCCGAGATGTGTTGACTGTCTGGAACTTTCTGATTGGCTCTGCTGTGTTTTGTTTTCTCAAGTTAGTTTTTCCGAATTGGGCGCTGTCAAGAATTCTGAGCAATTGAGTTTTGCAAGCATCTGAGTTTTGCAGTGTTTGCTGCTTTACGATCCTTGGCATCTTTCAGTGTGCACCAGCTCTGGTTCATAAAGTTAGCTTGTGAAGTTTGTTATTAGGCATGTTGGCAAAGGCGGTCAGTTATTTTTGGGAGTCTAATTTTAGGCAGGTTTGAAAAATTAGCCCTGACTCCACAGCTGTTCAAAATATATTAATCCTGTGTCTACATGTGGGAAGGGGCTGTTTCTGATATTGAGGTACAAGTGGAGAATAAGTGCACATCCTCTATGTAAAGTTCATTTTTCATCCTCAAGTTGTAAGTTAAGGAAAAAAAAGATCTGATGACTGTGGAACAGCTTTGGTGTCACATGTGTTTGGGATGTAGTTGTGCAGGTATACATATTGAGTTGTAGGGTGTTACATATGGTGCAACGTACATGTGGCTTTATAAGTGAGGTTTGCCATGACTATTTTTAAATTGTGTTAAGAGTGATATTTACTGCTAGAGAACATTGTGTCTTGACCCGGATGGCCCCAGCTGGCCCGATTTTGCCAGGTTTCGGAAGCTGAGCGGGGTTGTCCCTGGTTAACATTTGGATGGGAAACCACCAAGGAATTTCAGGGTTAGGGTTAGGGTTGCCTCGAAAATGCTATGGGATCGCCATAAGTAGGCTGTGACTTGGCGGCACTTTATGCATCGCATGCACACAGAGCATCAAGGCAGCTATTGGATCTGCTCCCATTCTCTGTCTGTGACTTTTGAAGCAAGAAGGGCTTTTATAAAAGTCTCTAACTCAGGTTTACAATTAGGGTTAATTGTCAGGGAAAGAAGTTAGAGAACAGAGAAATCTTTATGTTTCTTGCGTAATGTTTTGTTATAATGGCGGCAGTAGCAATTATACTGTAATAGTATTAGCGGTTGGAGGACAGCTTGAAACAATTCCTCCCAAGGCATTTTGACAGGACAGACTGGAATGAAAAGCATGGGTGACTGCAAACAGTGGGATCATTGTATCCCATTGCTCTGTTTGTGTTTCTGGTGTTATTTCTTGGGGAAAGCCGGAAGAGCCCTCTCTGTCAGGGTTCACATTTCAGCATGTGTATGCTTATTGCGTTATTCCAGGAAATGATCTTGAAAGGTGAACGGAGGTGAAGTCTAATTTCTAATTGCAGATTAATTTTCTGACCCATGTATAGCTCTCTAAAGTCTGTACTTCAGTTAGAAACTGTCAAGGTATTACTTTACTTTAGCTGTTTGCTCAGAGTTGCCCGTTCATAATCTTCTGGGTTAGCGTATTATTTATCAGGATTCACTGGATATCAAATGCTTCTTTCCATATGGACAAGTGTTTCTCCAACTTTAGTTTCAGAGACATAACACTGGTAAACTAGCTTGACTTACAATGTATGTATTTCATATTAAAGTAGAAAAGGAGTGATTGCAAGGTGTTCCCAAGGGCATGCTGCCACTCCCACAGTGTTGCTGGTGAATCTACTGCCGCTCACCAATCATGAAGCAGCGTGACAGCTCTTCCTCCTAATTCCCTGCAAGGCTGTAGCCCCAGCCTTTGCACAGAAAGAGTGGGAATGCTGCATTGTGCATACCTACCCTGTCCCTTGGCTTTGAGGGGAAGACTGCTAACACCGAGAGCCAGTTTGGTGTAGTGATTGTGTGCGGACTCTAATCTGGGAGAACCGGGTTTGATTCCCCACTCCTCCGCTTGCACCTGGCTGGATGACCTTGGGCAAGCCGTAGTTCTGATAAGAGCTGTTTTTGAAAAAGAGCAGTTTCTGTCAAGAGCTCTCTCAGCCCCACCCACCTCACAGGCAATGCTCCCTCTAAGCTGTGGAGTCTTGTGAGCAAAAATTCTACTTCGTGAGCTACTGGCATTGAAGTTGTGAGTGAGCAGTTTGGCTACTGCATAAATTAGTTTGCTCTGGAGCCATCTGTCCTGAGCTAAGACAAAAATCTGTGAGCCGGAGGCTAAAAAACTGAGCTAGCTCACACTAACTCAGCTTAGGGGGAACGCTGCTCACAGGGTGTCTGTTGGGGGGAGGGGAGGGGAAAGGAGATCGTAAGCCGCTCTGAGACTCCCTTGGGTAGTGAAGGGCGGGGTATAAATCCAGTCTCCTCCTCTTCTTCTTCTACCTGTTGAATGATAGAACAAAGTCTGAATCCAGTGGTTCCCTCTAAGACCAGAATTAAACTTTGGTGGTCTTAGGTTCAGATGGGCACTGGTGGTCCCTCATATACGCC